GGAGGTGTCGTTGGCGGAGATTCCGGCACAAGGGAGGGTCGTCATCCCCGGCAGACCCAGCGCCTCGAACCGAGCCTGCAGCTCGTCCTCTATCGCCTGTAACCGCCACGCCAGCGGTCCAACCGGTTCCTCCGTCTCCGACGCATTCCTCGCCAACGTGCGCGGAAATCGCCCGACCATCCCCTCGACTTGGCGCGGATCGGGTACGAGCGGGTCCTCGTACACTCGGTAGATGGGGCGGAAGTGGCGCAGGTAGACGAGTGCAGCGAGCGCGGCGAGGACGGCTGCGAGAGCGAGGATCGACGCGGCGAGGATACATCTCGCTGAGGACAGACCGCACGCTCCGCAGCCCACCTTGCGCCTTCCCTGCATCCACCTCACTCCCCTGTACTCGCCCAACGCGTCCTCCTCGTCCTCCGGGTCCATCCAACCCGCGCCCTTCGCTCGTGCTGCGCCCCCTCGTCTCGCGCGCTTCTCGTCCGCTCCGTCGACGGGGGGCGAGTCGGAGCGGTACCGCGGCAAGAGGGGAGTCTCGGGAGTCGAGTCGTCTGGCGCGCTATCGGTGCTCGAGCGCGCCATGTTGTTGTTTCGTGTTGGAGGAGGATGACGGGGGCTCGAAGGGGCGGTGCTGCTCAGCGGAGAACCCGAGAGATGCGCAAGTCGAGGGGAGGCGTCGAGTTGGCGAGTTGGACAGTGACAGTCTTGAACACTGGCAGCTCGTGCAAGTACGAGTTAAGCTGGCGAAAGGCGAGAAGTGGCCCCGCTGAGGAGGACGAGGAGGAACAGGGGTCGGCCCGCCAAGTCCCCTTCAATGCGAGTGACGGCTCAAGCCTTGGAAATCAAGAGCCACTCGAAACGAAAGCAAGCAAAGTCAGCAGTCCTCGCAAAACGCAGCCCGACCCAGCTTCGTGCGCGAAATCGTCGCTCGTCTCCCGCGAGCGAGGGGAAGCATCCTGCGCGCCGCATCAACGGAGGTCAGCGCCCGCCTGCTCGTGCTGCAGAGAGACTCGAGTGCGCACCAGTCCGAGCCTTTCCACGCTCCTGGAAGCCGTCGTCGAGGCGAGCCATTGCCGAGCGATTCCAGCGAAGGAGGGGACTTGGCGCTTCCGAGAGCAGGCTGGACCGAGGCTCGTGGCGGTAGAGCTCGTAAGCAGCGCAGCGTGGCTCTTCAAGCGCCTTCAAAGCCAGCTAGACGTGTTGCAGAGGGAAGAGAGAGGCGCCGAGTCGTCCGACCGCACGAGTTCCGACCTCGCTGATTATCGCCCACGGTCACGCAAAACAGCGACGGTACGAAGCAGCGCAGGAAGCTACTCTCGAGACAGGCCGAGGGATCCGGTGCGTCACGAAGGGGAAAGAGAGGGAGTCGAACCAGCGAGTTTTCAGCGACTTCGAGCGCGAGGGTAGGAGGGAGAGGGTAGGAGGGAGTGGTACAGTCTCGTGTAAGAGAGAGGTCGGAAAGGGTATGCGTAAAACGAGCGGGTTGTGCGAAGATCGGCTAGTGGTACATGCGAGTGAACGAGAGAGGGAAGAGCGATATGAACCTGGATGAGAGAGCACAATAGAACACCTTGAGAGAACTGCTTGACGACCCACAACTTGACGAACAACCAACGACGAAACGACGAAACGATTTGACGACTTGACGACCGGAACCGAGGCGAGGCGAGAGGGCGGAGGGGGTGGGTCACCGCTGTATGATGGTCCTGATGAACGAATAAGGTCTCTCCCACGTCCCCCTCAGCCACTCCAAATCGACGTGGAAGCCTCGGACCCAGCCGTAACAGACGACCGAGTCGGGTGGTGAGAGGTCCCACCAGGGGATCCGTTCGGATGGGTCGAGGGCGTCGTCGGAGGGTAGAGGGGAGGGAGGAGAGAGAGGCGAGGGGACGGTGAGTTGGGAAGTGGAGGGAGGGGAAAGGGAGGAGAGGCGACGGAGTTGAGGGTGGAAGTAGGTATCGTGGTCGTAGGTCGTCCGAACAGACGGTACGATCTGCTCAAACCCCGCCATCAGCACCACAACAACTTTCTTCAGATGGAATGAGAAGCGAACGCACCAACCACCGATCGAACCCTCTGGTCCAGAAATCCTTCGCAAGCGTCTTACACTCGCTCGCCGCGCATTCTCCCGGGCTCTTCAGTGCGGAGCGGAATCGCGCTGGGGTGCTGACTGTGAGCGGAGGGGGTCGACGCCATGATTTGCGGGAGGAGAGGGAGAGGGGCGAGGAGGGATCGTAGCGCGGCGAGATGGCGGTCGAGGTGAAGGGTGTGGCGTCGAGTGCGAGCATGCCGTTCCAGCACGAGTCTGCGCACACCATCAAGCATCAGTCCACCGCCTCCTCGAGTGTAAGCGCGAAGCGGCCGAACTCACAGACTGGCACCGGCAAACCCCGGTTCCACCTCTCCTTCCACCGCTCCTCGCCCGGCTGATCAAATATCTCCTCCACTCCGTTCCTCCACTCGCTCAAGATATCCGCGCGAGCACGGAACGTCTCTCCCGACAGGGAGCGGGAGACCTGCGCCATCTCCATCCGTCAGCTCGCTAGCAAAGAGGAGAGAAGGGAAGGCGGCGAGACGCACCCAGTTGTCGTAAAACTTGACACTCCCGTTCCACTTCCTCGCGAGCCCTCCATTCGGCCTCCAATCCATCGCACAAGCCGCATCCGCCTCCTGCGCCTTTCGCTGAAAGACCAACTCCAACACATCGCTCGGGCAGGTGTAGACGTCGTTGATGAAGACGATGTCGGAGAAGGAAGCGCCGTCGCGCTCGAGGGGGGAGAGGAGGACGTTGCGGTAGACGGAGAGTTGGGCTATCCGGTCGACCGCCTTCCAGTTCGTCTTGCGTGGGTCGGAGAGGATGGTATGCGATGCGCCGAGTGCGGTCAGAGCCGCTGCGAGGTGTGCGAGTGCGAGG